TTGCACTAATTTTTGTTTGTGAATATCTCAAACAGAGAAAAGAGAAACACTTGTTTGTGTTTTTCTTTTCCTTTTCTTGTATTTTTCAGCTAAAAATTCCAGATTAAATGAACTAACTTCCTCTTCAAGAGCCACGCCCAGCTTGTTTAGTTCTTAATCAAGAAATCAGAGCCCATGTATTCGATGCAGAGTGAGAAGCGAGGGTTTGAGAAGAAAATCAATGGGAGAAAGGGTAAAAATGTCTTTTTATATTAATTTTAATAGAGTAGTGGCTATTTTTATTCATTAGAATTGCTGGATAAAAAATAAATACCACCTTAAATAGTGGCTACCCATGCCATTTTTACGAAATTTGAATGCAGTTCAACAAAAAAATCATAGAGTGGATCATTGACGGGACAAAAAATTGTGAGTTTGTTTAAACCAAGTGAAGAAACAAAGACCAATTGTTAGTTTGTGAATTGTGACACACCCAATAATTCCCTTAAATTTGTTGGATTTTTATGAATTCTCTGTATCTGTTCCATTCCATTCTACTCGATTATCTTTTACATATATGCGAGTATGTATAAGAGCCCGAAGTTCAATTTGTAGACTCCTCAGCCAAGCCCCAAATGCTCGAGAACATTTGCACAACCTTGGAGTTCCAACCATTGAGCCTAGCATTCTTATTTCTCAATGTGGAAAAAGTGCAGATTCCATGTTCGATGAATTGCCTAAATGTGATGTAGTATCTGCTACAGCTTTGGTTAGCCGTTTTACTAGACTGAATCATCACAAGAAAGCAATAACAATCTTCTCAAGAATGTTTGAGTATGATGTTAGACCAAATGAGTTCACTTTAGGCACTGTAACTCACTCTTCTGTTGTTCTTAAAGACCTTAATTCAGGAAAGCAATTTCATGTCATTTCAATAAACTTGGCCTTCAGTCAAATGTTTACGTGGGTAGTGCACTTTTGGATCTTTATGTAAAGCTAAGCAGCATTGAGGAAGCTCAACTTGTTTTTGAGGATACCCATGTGCCAAATGTGGTTTCTTACACAACTTTAGTATGTGGGTATCTCAAAGAAGAGAAGTTTGATGAAGCTATGGAAATCTTTCGGATAATCCTTGAGAGAAATGTTGTGATTAGAGGGTATAGTCAGAAAGGACGTAACGAGGATGTTGTTAATCTTTTTGTTGAGATGTTGAGACAACGTGTTGTACCTGATCAATCGACGTAAAAAAAGAATATACTATTCTGTATTTCCAAATAATCTAATTTTAAGCTTTTTATTTTACTCATTTTATATTTAATTAATGAATTTTTTATAGCCTCATATTATGATCACAAATTATAACAATTTTCATTTTTTTCTCAAATTTCATGTAACTCATACTACATCACATGAATTAAAATAAAGGGAGTCAATTGCGGAGCCACTTTATCCGAAGAGGGTGTCAAATAATTGACCACCTTTTGTCTGAAAAATTATATTGTGTAGTTAGATTAAAAATAACCTAATGACATATTATTACTATATGTTGGTTCTTCTTGATTCTTTTCGTGTATTTTTTTTATATATTTTGACACGACCTAATAAAAATTATGGGTATGTCTGAGTACTACTTTTAATAACAAACCATTCCATTGATCATAAGTTCTGCATATTACAATCATTGTACTCAAATGATTAGATAGAAGAGCCATAATCATTTCTCACATTGCAAAAAAATTATAGAAAATGAAGGCTCAAGTACAATATATATATATATATATATAT